TAAATAAATAAATAAATAAATAAATAAATAAATAAATAAATAAATAAATAAATAAAGTGGTGCTGTTGTTCACCTGAGGCATGTCCCATCCCATCACATAGTCTTGAAGAACAAGAACAGTGACGGAAGCTGTTCAAGGATCAGCTTCATGGAAGGCAACAGACTAGCGGCAGTTTAAGAACCGTGGGATTTCACTGCTGCGGGATACAGCGCAGTGGTTGGGCAATCATATAATTTACAATGGTCCCTTGATATTTCAAGTACCTATCTGCTACCATACGTAGTTATTACAATATGACTGACTATATTCCCCATCAACCCTTTGTAGCATTGAACTTCCTTTCTATTTTCTTTCCAAATACGTTGCTCCTGACCACGCCTGGTGCCAGGAACAGAGGTGGCGGATGAGTTGTGCTACCGGATGAACGAAGGCGTGTCAAAGTACGGGTATTGCCGCAAAGTGAATGACACACCCGTTCCCTGTAAAGCGAAGTAAGTGGCCTTCAAACAACAGTTTTAGCCCTTCCTCCTCCACAGACCAGGGAAATTGCTCACTTCCAGTCACACATTCTGCTTTATTCCATCTAAAGAGAAGGTGAATTTGGACGTCATTCATTTGACAGGTAGTCACTGAGCAGCTATTTTGTGCCATGTTTCTAGCTAGGCACTGAGTTGACAAGAGAAATAAGAATTGATCCCTTTTGTCAAGTCCTTCCTAGCGGAAGGAACAGCTCCATTGATCCTTGTCAGTGACTGACATCAAGTACAATCACTGTTAAATAAAATGAATATTTGAGATGGAACAAGCAAGGTAAATAGAAATGTATCCATCAATTTTCCAGGATATTTTAGGTGCTTTCCCATCTGATGTCTTTTATTGTGATTCTAGAAGCACAAATATCTACCTACTCAGAGAATAATCAATACAATGCTTGTAAAATTTTATGTAAACTTGCCATGGAATTATATAAAGAAAAAAGGCAGTAAGAGAAAAAATTGACAGTTCACCTGAAGAATGTTTTAATTTTTATAATATTATATGCAATAAACTTGAGATTTTTCTATAAGATGTTTTTGTACAATTTTGAGATGACATTAAAAATTCAAATTATGATAGGTTAAACTCTTTGTACTTGTTCCAAATTTTACACTAAGCCATATGCAACAAGAAGTTAAACAAGATCAGCATTTCTCAATGTTTTTCTGTTAAACACTAATTTTTCTAGGTGATAAATTTTGCCAAGCAAATTATATATATATTTTTAATTTTTCTAAACAAAATATATTTTGGACATAGGGTCATCTCTTGGGGAGGTTGCACCTAAAGGATGGACAATCATATTTTGTGCTTTCTCCTTTATAGGATATCAGGGCAGATTTAAAGGGGGAAACTATATAAAAGGAAATATTTTGGGGGGAAAAGAGCAATATGTTGTATGAGAGGGTAGTGATTGGGGAAAGGAAGCAGGGTAGTTCTATTTTTCCTCTGCAGTGTGTGCACACCCATTTTCTCACATCGCCATCTGTATGAGCACTGGATAATTTCTGCAACTAAAGGCACGAGTATTTCTTTCTCCCCACAGGCTGCATTTCTAGTCACTTCTTAATAGTAACTGGCTGTAGTGGAGAGCAAGCCTAGAATTCCCTGTGTCCTAGAATCTTCCTTATAAGACTTCACCTAAATTATTCAAGAAAAACACCCTCTCAAGTTTGGAGAGAATGCATGCCTTTCTCTGCTACTTTTTCCAGCAACCAGTGAAGACATCAGAAGGATCTGATTCTATCTGCCCTCAGAATACTTTCTCACAGCCCTTCTCTGAATTCTACATAAAGCAATTGACTGCAATTTTATTGGCATTGACTTTACTCTCTTTGGTTGGTAAACAATGGTTTTATTGAGTGCTGAGTAGTTTCATCTGTGTTTTCAGGGAGATAGTTCTTTCAGTAACCCCACATAATGCCTTGGAGCAGGGGTGGGGAAACTTTTTTCTGCCAAGGACCATTTGGATATTTATAACATCATTCACAAGCCATACAAAATTGTCAGCTTAAAAATTAGCTATGAAAAAAGCTCCTAGATTTATTGAATTTTGAGTCCCGCCTGCGGTTGCCTTGGCAGGGCCAGACCAAATGATTTCACAGGCCAGAAACCGCCTGTGGGCCCTACGTTCCCCACCCCAAGGCTTTGAGGATCAATTAAGGCCCAACTTTATATTGACACAACCATAGTTGAAATTATTCTGCTGCAACTCATGAAAATAAATAAGAAAAAGTAACTGAAGATAGAAACTGATTTCCTTGGTGGTGAAACAAGATAGAAACTGATTTCCTTGGTGGTGAAACAAGATAGAAACTGATTTCCTTGGTGGTGAAACAAGATAGAAACTGATTTCCTTGGTGCCCTCCAGTATGTCAGAGATCCATCCTCATATTTTCTAGCTCTATCATATACGTGACCGCCATTCCCAAGTGTTTCTCTTGGTGTGTGTTGGCTTCTCCAGTGCCAGCCATCACTTTCCAATAAGTAAAAAGGAAACAACAACAACAACAAATGTAAGGCCACCTTCAAGAATTTATACTTAAGATTCTGTTCCCTTCCCAAGGGCCAAAATTAGCTGCATGGAAATCTGGGAAATGTGTTTTTGTTGTTGTTACAGCAACAACGTGCTTTTCCATACTCAATGGTTCTATTACTGAAGACTAAGAGGAAATCTGATCTCAAGGAGGAAGAACCAGGAGTCTCTGCTACAGGGAGAAATACCATTAGTTCAATATTGACAGTCAGGGAGCTATCAACATTTGTCTAAATCTGCAATTTAGATCCTGGTAATTTAACTGCAGCAAATTTTGACTTTTCCTTAGTGATGCCATGTGTGGGAAGTTGTTCTGTCAAGGTGGGTCAGATACTTTGCCCTGGAAAGGACGTATAATAACTTTCCTGTCATGTAAATCATTCAATCCTGAGGACAACAGTGAAGAAATAGGCATGGTAGCCAATGGAACCAAGTGTGGAAATAAGAAGGTAGGTTGAAACTGTGGTTTTTATTCTTACATGTTTTTAGTTTTTGTTTCTTGTTTTGTTTTTCAAGGCCTCCTTGTGTTTCATAGGAGCAGTTTTTTTGGTTTGTTTTTTGTTTGTTTTTAATCTTCACCTGAGGATATTTTTTTCCTGTTGCATTTCAGAGAGAGTGGAAAGGAGAAAGAGAGAGAGAGAGAGAGAGAGAAACATCAATTAGTTGCCTCTGGCTCGTTCCCCAGTCGAGCCTGGAACTGAGGTATGTGCCCTTTCCCAGAATTGAACCCAGGACCCTTCAGTCCTAAGGCTCTAACCACTGAGGCAAACTGGCAAGGGCAATAGGCGCAGTTTTCAAAGCAATGCTTATGTCGTTCATTTATGCCTGCCTGCATTGATTCGTTCAATACTATTTAATAAGTATCTATTGTCTGCTTAGCACAAGGTTGCTAAACTTAGGTAACTTTTATTGCCCCCAAATTGATAGGTTTTCAATGAATGATAATCACTTTAATAATAAAAAAGAGATTTAAAATATCATTTATTTTTATATAAATGATAATTTTTAATATTTCAGAAGATGTGATATTGACAAGTTTTCCATAATACTTGTGTTGGAATGGGTACCTTGTATCATTGCTCAGCTCCATGCTAAATAAATATCAGTCTTAAGACTTGGACTAAAGACTGGGTTCAGGGAATGACCACTGAGGAATGAAACGAAGTAAGGAAATCTTTAAGGGAGGCTTTCTAAACATTTTATTATAAAAATTACCTAGATACCATCTTCCTATTTTCAAAAGAATGCTGTGATTTCCTTAATAAAAATGTAAGTTTAATAATGGTAACAGTGGCTACTAAGACCAAATTCCAAACTGACAGCAATTTGCAGAGCTGATGCCACTGGCCATAGTGTCAACTTTATGTTTCTCGCATCATTTTCAGGTTTGCATTAATGCAGAATGCGTGGATATCGAGAGAGCCTACAAATCGACCAATTGCTCATCTAAGTGCAAAGGACACGCTGTAAGATCTGAAACTTTTCCCCCAAGCTTGCTGAATCTTATGTAATTTTTAGATCGGTTTTCATGATATAAAAGAATGTTTCAGCAGCTGTAAAAAAGAAGAATCCCTTACCCTTGAAACAACATGGAGGGACCTGGAGATCATTATGCTAAGCTAAATAAACCAGTCAGAGAAAGACAAATATTACATGATCTCACTTATATGTGGAATCTAATGAACAAAATAAACTGACAGGCAAAATAGATCCAGAGACATGGAAGCATGCAAAAGTCTGAAGAATCTCAGAGGGAAGGTATGGGGCAGGAAGAGATTAACCAAAGAACTCATATGCATGACCCGTGGACACAGACCAACAGTTCGGTGAAAGCTTGGGGAGAGGGCAGGAGCAGGGAGGAGGGGTCAATGGGGGGAAAAGGGGAACATCTGTAATACTTTCAACAATAAAGATAAATTTAAAAGCAAAAAAGACTGACAACCAAAAAAAATGTTTAAGTTTGTCTAACCCATCAGTAGTGTGTTTCAATGAAAAATTTCTTTTAAGAACCTGGTCTATACAAAATTCCTATTATCGATTTGGATGTTATATAGATAGCTGAAAGACTCAGAACAGGGGTTATTCCATTTCCAGAATGGACTTAATCATGGATGAGTAGGCCCTTGGGTCAGTGGTCAGTCTAGTGTGGAAACTTATAGGATCTTTGATCCCCCAGGTGTGTGACCACAACCTCCAGTGTCAGTGTAAAGAGGGCTGGGCCCCTCCTGATTGCGATGTCTCCTCCATGGTCTTCCGTAGGTAACATTACATGTCTAACCTGAGAAATTGCTCTTCTTTTCCAAGCTTTTCTTTCTTATAACAAAAGATTTCATTGCCTCTTTTCTCTTCTCTTGGAATTCCTGTCCTGTAAATACTGAATCCACAATATTAATCTTCAAATTCTCTTTAACAGGTTTTTAATCCTATTTTCCACATCCCTATGCATTCACTCTACATACAAAAAAGATTTCTTCAAATTTTATATTTGTAAGCTTATTTTAATTTCCCAAATTATCTTGCTTTCTGATTGTTCCATTTTCATACCAGCCTTGACTTAAAGTATAGATGTAACATTCTCATAAGACTCTCTAAGAATATGACAGATTATTTTTGTAGGTTTAATTCTGCATACTGAATTATCTCTATTTCTTTTGAGTTTGGCTGTTCCATTTTTGCAGCCTGCCCCTTGTATTTCATTGGGTTGTTTTTCTTCAGGGCCTGTGACCTTTTATTGGATATGGGATTCTGTTCGACTTGAATTAGCTCACATGGATTTTCTTTGCATGTGTGTGTGCTTGTACCTACCAACCACCCTTCCTGATGGGAGATCTGTCTGTGAGGGTGGGAAGCAGCCGGAGTGGGGATCCTCACCTCTGATCTCTGTGGTGAAGATACTTTGCCATGAGGAGAGGGGTCTTTATTTCATTTACTTCTTGCACTCAACTGCTCCTCGATTCTCCCTTCTCTCTCTGATCTAGAATGAATGTCTGTTGTTAGCCTCTGTGCTGCTTCTCAGGCAAGAGCCCCCGCCCCCCGCCCATTGTTTCTAGAGACTTCTCTAGAAGGACTTTGCCTTGAGGCATGAGCCACTCTTGTTCTAAATACACAAGGGATGGGGACGGGCCTGACTGAATCATATGTCCCAAGTTCAGATTCTCTGTTAACTTCCCAAGAAAAAATAGCATCTATTCCTGATGTTTGGAGCTAGAATGTACACTGTTTTTGTCCACATAAATCCTTTTACTTCTTATATTTCCATAATTCTTTTCATTTTTATGGAGGGTGGAAAGTATCAGATGTTTGAAGTGAAATTATTATCCTACCTAGAATTCTACTACTGCTGTCTGCATGTGTGTGTTAACACTTGTGAACTTCCTTTGCATTTTTACAAAACAGGATCATATTGGCTTACTGATCTCTGCAATAAGAAAGTGATAGCTGTTTCATTTGCTCTTCAAATTTCCATCTCCTGGCATCTATGTTTTCTGATTATTATGAGGAACGTGAATATTTGAAATAGCAAAAGATTGAAGTTACACTTATTACTTAGATAAGTAGGTAAAAGCAAAAGCACCATATAAAACCAAGAAATTTGTTCAAACCATTTCCCAGTTCACAGGGTCACATAATTTCCTTTCCAACCATAATCTTTATAGTATAGAGCAAAAATCAGTAGAGCACTTGTCTTAGGTCTCGGCTCCTTATTTGCTACTGACAGTAATGTGATTTCAAGGCTTCAGTTTCTTTTTCCCTGTTTTATTTCAGGGCTGAATTTTAAAAATACTTCACTCCTTTTCTGCCATCCCCTTTTCTTTATATTCTCTCTAATCCCCCAGTCATTCATTTTCCAACTACTACAAACATCATCCCTTCTAATACTTCTCAGTAGTATTTGCTTCAGCTGTCTCATATGAAATGTTTCCTATAGATTTCCCCTTTATTTACTCTACCTAAATCATATTTTACTAATCATAATCAAAACATATCTTGATTTTACTGGCTATGGGAGATTTTCCAGAGACTGCACGTTCTCTGGGGGAAGGGTAGAGGCTGTGCTAAATGAAGAAAAAAGACAAATGTGGTACATATGTGTGAATTTCTTAGGTCCTCGCTAAGCCTGGGCTCTCTGTTGCAGCCTTTCCCATTGTGGTTGGGGTGCTGTTCCCTGTGGCTGTCATAAGTGTGGTGTTTGCTGTAGTAGTGTGGCTCCAAAGCATCAGAGGAAAGCAGAAGAAAGTCCAAAGGTAGGCTTTTACCTGGGGACTTTTTGGCCTCTAGTTAACTTTAAATTCAAAGATAAGACCCAAATTATGAAACTTAATGCTGGTTTACTTCAAATACTTAGAAATAAGTACACATACATTTTGCTTGGACCAGAAGCTGAGTATTTCTTTTACTGAGAAGTCTTTCCCAGCAAGACATGTCTTTTTCCCCTGTAATTACTGTAAATATAATTAATAATAAGATTAATAACTCATTATTAAAGATTTTGCACTTATTATAAGAATACAATATCTAACCTTTATTGATCACTATCTTTATGATAAGCACTTCTATTAACTCCTTTTACATACATTATCTCATTTAATCTTTGCAAGAATATCATGTGGTAGTAACTATTATTTCTATCATATAGATGAAAAGATATTATATATTAATTTTACAACAATCCTGCAAGATCAGGCACTTCTCATTTTACCAATGTAGAAACAGAAGCTCAGAGGGTTAATAAACATGTTCAAAGTTGTACAAAGGAAGTGATGGTGTCTTAATATGCACCAAGATCAGTCAATCTTTTGAACATGGTCTTGACACTACAGCATCTTTCTTGAATTTTTATAAGGACAATTTACCCATAATGGGCTATTAATAAATTTCGAAGGAATAAAATAAGTCATTAATTAAATGACATAATTTGATAAAAGTTGTATTCATCACCATTGTTATTAGGGTTCAGGGCTCTGCAAGAGAATCAAAAAGAAAATCAGCGGTGGGGATGATGAATTATAGGACATAGAAGCCTTAAGAACATCCTAGGGAGCAGGTGAAAACCCACTCAGTCACCAAGGATGACACAGCGGGCAAAGGAAATTGGCAGATTTATCTTGAGTTTCCCCCTTGGGATGAACAAACTGCCTGGTCAGTTTGTCTGATACCCTTTCCCCTACAGGCCAGCGTCTACCCCCGGCACCGGGCCATGCAGACAGAAGAGGACACCACAGACGGTGAAGGCCGGTCAGCCCCAAGAGGTGCGTCATAGTTTGTAGCGTGCTTGCCATGGGCCCAGGTTGTGATTCTCTCCCTCTCTTGCCCTGACCACCTACCTATCATTTCTGCTCGTCAGTGTTGTATAAATTCACCGCACTTGTGAGTATGTGGCAGGATTGTGGGCTCTGCAACTACACATCCAGAAAGTTCTCCTCTGCGTTTGGTTAAATCCAGAAGAGCCCCCCTAAAATGCAGAAATGCAGAGGCTGCTTTGCTAGGATTCACAAAATGCAAACAGAGTAAGACAACAAGGAGGACAGATACCAGATCTCTCCTCTCTCTCTCTCTCTCATTCCTTTAAAAATGTCCCAGGAAAGGAAATAATACACATATTTGTATGACAATATATGTAATATGTATAACTCCTAATGCCTTGGTTGTGTCCTGCAAGTTTAGAAATTTTTACAGGAGTTGGTTAATGATAACGCCATTAGTAATCGTGTGTTTGATGGAAACTTACCAATCTCTGATAGCTCTGAACCTAACAGAATGCAGCAGCTGGGCCGCTGTGCTTCCCATCTGGTCTCCAGTGTCATCTTAGTTCTGGTGTCCCATGCTTTTAAAGGACTGCTTATTTGGAAGCTGAACTTAAGAACCTGATAATTTATCTTAAAAATTTCTTTTTCCTTTCAGATAAGTCAGATGAAGCTTTGTGCCCCTGACCTGCCAGCAGACAGCAGTGAGCCTCCAGCTTCTTTTGTGAGTTAGCAACTTCTCTTAAATATCACTGCCAATCTAACCTTAAAGAAATACTAGTGAAAGACACAATGCACAATTATTTCTTTAGAAGAATATTGCAACCTGTGTAAAAATTAATATAAAATATAGATTCTTCTACACAACATTTTGAAAATATCAAATTTGAGAATGTGTGCCTATCCATGATACTCCTATAATTTAACCCCTACACCAAAATTACCAGGTCTATAAAGTGATAACTCATTACGGGACGAGTGCTGATCTCCTTCCTAGAGTGGCATCTCAATCATATGTCTATTGGCATTGGACTTATTTCTCAATTCTTTGTGTACGCCTAAATGAAAACAATTGAACTGATAGGTTTAGGGCATTCTCATGGGTAAGGTCATACATTCTCTATTTCTGAAAATACTTTAAGCACTTCTTTCCATTAAGCACTTCTCTTTTTAAGGCCCCATCTTTGAATTATCTTTTTTTTACCTCTTACTAGCTAATTACAAAGCCAGATTTTCCACCACCTCCGATTCCTACATCTGAACCATCTTCCTCTTTCCTTGTAAGTATCAGATGGTCCCTGGTGATTTTTTAAATGTCTCTTGTGCCAATGTGAATAGTGTCTCTAAATCTGTGGGTTCTTTATCAAGATATGTGCTCCCTAGGCTAACCTGAGATAGCATAGCAAGGTCTATTTACTACCTATACATTATTATGGGTATTAATTTATCATTATTACAAATAGTTCTGTTATATAATTGTTAAGAAACGATCAGTAGTTCTGCTATAGAAGGCAAACTGTTTCCCTGAAAGGCTAGTTTCTAGATGGAGGATGTCAAATTTAATCATAAGTTATATTTTGCTTTTTAAAATTTATTATAGATAGAATAAGCCTATTTTAGTCATAGTCTTCTGTAGCAGGTAGGGCATGAAAAACAGACCACAGATAAGCAAATGGGGAATAAAAGTCAGGTGCCCATGAAGTAAAAGGTAGAAATCATTCGCTCAAATAGTTACTGAGCATATTTCCTCGTATTTGGTGCTTTGTTGGCGGTAAATGAAGTAACTAAAATTTAAGGTATTTTTAAAGAACTTTTACAATTTTAGGAGGAAAACAAGTCAAATATATATGAAGCACTTAATCGCTCATATATTATTTATGCCAAAGCAGGTGATCCTGATGAAAAGAATATGGGGAGGGGAAAATGAATGGGCTCAGGGTGGTTAAACAGGAAGACAGTCCGGTTGACCAAGTAGCTGGAATTTGAACTGGACCTTGCGAGTTAGGGAGAATTTAAATGAGTGCTGAGAAGGTCAGGAATGATTTAAATAGGGAAATAAGTAGAGCTAAGATAGGAAATGTATAGCATTTCTGATGACTTACCATTAGTTTTCAAGGATAAGCCAATGTCTACCCCGAAGGTACGAGATCTGTAGCCAAACTATTATAATCTTGTAGCGCTCCTAGTGTGAAGGAGGGAATTAATAACCGTGTCTTCCTAGGAGATGTTCACTAAGAATAAAGTCTGGATAGGGAGATGGAGAGAGTATCCCATAGAATAATTATCACCTGGTGTCTCATAACTCTCCTCCTGAACCCCTACCATCTCCATTATACTAATTAGCTGGTGGATATTTGCATCCCAGTGAGGGGTTTTTCTTCCCTTCTTTCCTAACACTCCCATGTTTCCACTCCTTCCCTGTGATGTATCAAATAATCCATAAAATAGGAAGTGTAACTACTGAGAATTAGTTGTAATTTCTTAATATTACAAAGTTATGAGATATATACATTTTTAGGAAAAGTTGATCACTGAAGAGTTTTGTCTTGTTTTTTAGGACTCCAATCCAAGTGTCTGAAGCAATGGCTAAGCCAGGATTGGTGGCTTAAATGATCAACTTGGAAGACTGGACCATCTGGATAGAAGAGAAATATATGCACTATTTTACTATTTGCTCTTGAAACCCAAGAAGGTTAACATTTTCTGATTCATGTTATATTTTAAAGAGATTAAACAAAAGTTTTCAAGAGAGATGTACTCTTGAGAATCTTTGTTTGAATTTAAAATTTCTGTTCTCTATATCCAGGGGAAGGAAGATGACTCTATAGATACAGCTATGAAGCTGAAATTTCTAATTAGACGACTTTCCTACTCACTCCTCCACTTCTTTTTTTTTTTTTTTACTGTAATGTTGACTAATATTTGTTCAAATATTTTGAACATCTTGATTTTATCACTTGGTAGGAACTAATTCATCCTCCAATGAAAACAAAAAAATAAGTATCACAGGTAACTGGGAAGGAAGTGGAAAAACTAGTACATTCATCATTAGAAGACTAACAACAAGTTAATTGTTTTAATTATTAACCTATCAAATTAGAACCCTTTGTTAAGAAGAAAACTTATATAAACATTTTATGATTTATATATCTCTTTCCCACATTATCTTCTACAATCCATGTTAGCTGTGTAATTTGAGGTTTACTACAATTGAATAAATTTTACTAATTAAAATGTTTTTCATAGAAATGTGTATAATTTAGTTACTGCAAAGGTTAAAGTGAACTTGGCTTTCTAAGTAAAGAACTTTTAGTTAAATTAAAAAATCAAAGGTTATAAACCGGTAGCCTTCCAGACATGTATGAATTGCTGATTTATTCACATTGGACCTGAATAATTTGGGCCACAAAGTATTTTTAAATGTTTTGAATGTGTTGCCAATATTTAAAAATTGGGACATCTTGCATAAACATCCAGATTTCCAGCTTATTAAAAGTATAATCAAATGGTCTGTCAACACTAATCACAAGCTCGTAGCAACCATCTGCTTAGTTGACTGATGATGGAGAAAACATCATTGGTTACCTGCCAAAGAACCCTCTTCTTTCTTGCTTTCAGAATGCCAATTTGTTCAGTTGTCCATATTTTAAAAGAATACTTCTAACTCTCTCTCATGGGTAAATCTCTATTACTCTAAATCAACATAAGAATCTCATTTTCCTTACTGGTGGTTGATTTAGAAGCGAGTGTAGCACCCACCCCGCCTTTTTTTTGGTCAGTGAGACAAGAGAGGAGATATGCTGGGGAATTTCTCGGAAAGATCTTCTTGTCCCTGCTTCTGGATGTCGGCATCTGGATATCCCATCTGGTAGTGTTGCAGCCATGTTGCAGTTATGAGGGCGAGGCTGCTACACGGTACAAGGTAGAGCAGAAAGATGAAAAGAATAAAGCCTGGTCTTTTAACAATGTCATTGAACTGGTAAATTAGTAAATGCTGGAGTCCCCCACACTTTGTAGGACTTCCTATTTATATGATCCATAAAATTTCTTAAGCCATTTCGAATTGGATTTTCTCTTACTTATAACAGAAGTCATCCCAACTCATAAAATAGCTGCTTCCATTATTAGGGCACATGCTTTCCGCTTCATGGATATCGCTGTACATTTTCTATACTTGGCCTGCTTTACCCATTTACATCACAGATCTGGCTTCCCTATTGGCCAACTTTTCCATGAGGGATTTTGCCCACAAGAATTTCATTTGTCCTTGTAGTGTGAATTTCTAGATAAGCTCATTCTGGCCTCCAAAGTGAAGCTCAATTCCCAGCAAACCCGGAATCCACCTATGAGATCATTGTCATTGTAGCAGCCTTTCTTTCCATGGAGGAGTTTATTCAAGAGCACATTAAAAATACAGCTTTATCTGCAGCGTGAGCTTTCAGAAGACCCTGCCTTAACCCAGAAACAAATCCCTATTTGCAGCAAGGCCATAATCTTACTTGTGATCGATCTATGAATCTTTGCTGGGGTTTTGTTGTTGAATGGCTTGTTTTCATTCCTGTGCCTGTCTCATTCTTTTAGTATTGACAAAATGGGAATCTTGAGCCTATGACTCTTCAACTAGCCATCTACATGACCTAAGCTAGAAATAAAACATACACTCTCAAGAAGTGGCATCTTAACTTTCCTGTAGATTCTGAAATGATGGCACTCGGTCCTTGATGCTTACGGAGTGAAGTAAGCCAATCTCAGAGGGACAAATACTGAATGATTTCATTTAGATGAGGTAGCAAAATAGTCAAACTCATGGAAGCCAAGGTTAGAATGTGGTTGCCAGGGACTGGAAGGGGAAATGGGGATCTGTCACTCAAAGGGTATCAAGTTTTATTTACTCAAGGAGAACAAGACTAGAGATCTGCTGTATACATTGCGCCTATAGATACCAGTACTGTATTGTACGCTTGAAAGTCTATCACAAGGGTAGATCCCATGTCGTGCATCTGTATCATTTCAGTGTTGAAATCCTTGGTGTGCAACCCCCAGGGGAATAATAACTAAAGGACGTTCAGAAATGTATCTAAGTGAAAGACAAGGTGGGGACAACGTGACTGTAGACAATGGTCTCCTCCTGATGTTCCAGTAATTTCTGAGAAAGATGGTTTCAGCTGCTGAACTATAAAATTATTGCATTTCTTATAAAAAAGCCTCCAGATTCCCAGGTCAAGTGTTATGACCCAGCCACAGCGTTTTTCTCTTGTGAATCAACGTGTGTCATCAATTTGGTCTTCTTAGCTCTGTAACTTCTGTGAAATTACTCATAGAGCTTTGTGAGTCTTTTCCGGACATCTTGTGACTATAACTGGAATGGAGTCTGCAGGAGTCAGTTCTGGGTAGAGGCTCCTTTAGTCCTGCCTGCCAATGGTGGGGCCAAACAGATGCAGCAGAAAGCCCAAGGGTCACATGGGAAACAGAGGAATATCAAGAGGAAATGTAATGGAAATATATAGGACAGAGTATAAACAAACAAACAAATAAAGACAATATAAGCAAATAAGCAAACAAGACAGAGTATAAACAAACAAATAAATAAATAACATTATCTGGGGGAGGTAGACAATGCACAGGGATAAATGCAGAGGCAGTCCCTCTGGCTCTGCCAATAACTAGTTTTTTAGACTTAGTAAATGATTTAAACTCTTTGGGCATCTTTAAATTTTCTCATCTATGAAATGT